CCAGATGCATTTGAGATATCAAAAAAGTACTCCAGAGTGTTGTTCAGCATGGGGGTGAGTAGAAAATGAAGGCTAATCATGTTTTAGGTGTACTATTCCTTTAAGTTGGAAAAGAGGAAGCATTGTCCAACTCACTGCATAAATATGCATCTGGTTTTAGGTTCTGAGCAAACAATCTCTGCCAAAAAATTTAAATCACCTAGGAGTCTTGTAAAATGCTCAATGACATGTGGCCTTGACTTTATAAGGCAGGGTCAATGCTATTCCATTGAGTCTGCTGACTGGACATACTTCAGCCTAATATAGTTTATGGCTCTGGGTTCCAGACCAGCTGGGTGCTTGTTCAGGAAAGCTACTACTTTCAAGTGAAGCCAGTTCCTAAAATGCAGTGGCAGACACTGCATTCACACCTACACACTGTAGAAAGAACATGCACCCACTCATCTCTGCGTATGCTTAGCTGGCAGGAATTACACCTAAACATTGTCCACCTTAAAGTTCAGCATTTGATAGAGTAAACTGGAAACATTTTTTACATAAATTTGGCTTTGGCAATTCCTTTATAAATTGGTTAAAAATATTATACAGCTTCCCAACAGCCTGTGTCAGGAAAAATAAACAATCATCTTCCAGTTTGTGTCTCCAGAGGGGCACCAGGCAGGGATCCCAGCTCTCCCCCTCACCTTTTGCCTTTTTTATCGAGCCTCTAGCTGCTACAATCAGACAACCTAATGTGGTTAAAGGTATAAAAGGCATGAAAATAGAGAATAAAATTAGTCTTTACGCAGATGATGTATTACTTTATCATCCGCTTTCAAACTCTTGCCTCTCTCAAGTATTTAGATTATTAGAATCTTTCTCAAAAGTCTCAGAATACTCTATAAATTGGTCTTAATCTATAGTACTACCAGTTAATTGCCCTCACAGAATCCCTCAGGTCTATAATTGCAATCAGGAAATATCAAATATTTGGGAATTACTGTGTCATCTAAACTAGCTGAGTTACCAAAACTCAACCACATCCCTCTTTTAAAAAATATAGAAGAGGACCTAGAAAGATGGAAATTGCTTCTGATCTCCCTTATGGGTAGGGTAGCTTTAATTAAAATGATAGTCTTACCCAGAATTAACTACTTATTTTCAATGATCCCCCATAAAACCATCACCCAACTGGTTTAAATCTCTAGATTTCATCTCTAAATTTCTTTGGAAGGATAAACCCCCTCGTATCAGCTTGAAGACACTACAGAAAACCAAAGACAGAGGGGGACTAGATTTACCTAACTTCCAAAACTACTACTTAGCATATAGACTACAGTATATCTCTAAATGGATAAGCCCTGGATAGACATAGAACAGGAAATATGCAGTAATATCATAATTTCAGATTTTCCATTTATTAGCTCTAATATCAAGCGGCATTCTGGGGCTTGATCTTCACAGAAACTGTGTGGTGTGAGTGGGGGCACTAGGGTGTGAAGGCGTGATAGAGACTGTTTTTTTTTTTCAGGTTGGGGTCTGAACTGCTCCCTCTCCCAAGCAAATCTCAAATCTCAACAGACAGAGACCATTCGCCCGTCCTGCTCTGCCTCTGCTGGCTGACGCCTGGCCTCGCTGGTGCACATGTGGAGCTCTGGGTTTGGGGTGCCTGTGTGGCTACTGGCTTATTCCTGGTGGCTTCTCCACGGGGCCAGGTAGGCCAGGCCGGCGCTCCCGCGGGGGGGTAACCCTGGGGCCTCTGATCCCAGGGGCATTGGGCCTCTGCCCAGAGGCTTGTGGTGGCTGTGGGACTTCCTTTGGGCCGTCTCTCCTCCTAACTTGGTGGGGGCGCCTCCTCGGCTCTTCACAACCACTATTGAGCATTTTTTCTTTGGATAAACTTTACATGCACAAGTGCACTCTCACAAACAACTACAGGTGCTTGGTTCCAGGTACTCAGAGATTCAATTCCACACAGAAAGCCTATATTCTTATCTTCAGGTAACAGAGAGCACATGTCAGATTAAATACTACTTATATTTCAGCGATAGTATCTAGGTGTTACTTTATTGTATATCTTGTACCATGTCTGTTGGTTGTGCTGTTCTTTTTACATCTCTTTGCAGGTGATGAAGCAGACTGAAAATGTTTTATCATTATCTCCCTTTTATCTCTTCTTTCTTTCATCTTTTCTCCTTTTTTTCT